CCCTGGAAGGCCAGGTCGCGTTCTATCCGGACTATAATTTAGTTCCCGGGAGAACTGTAGCGTATGGCATTGGATTCCCCAGTCCGAGAAACCGCGTACTCGACCGTGAAACTTATTGATGGATAGCGTGCATTTTCCCTGCAGGCTCTCCGTTCAGCCACTTTACCCATTACAAAATGCGCCTTATTTGCAAGGCACTTAACTACGCCGCCAAATAAGTGGCGACTGCATCGCGGTGCAGCCTGAACAAAGCCGGATTCAGTGCTGCAATTGTGGAAATTTAGCTTCTCAAGCAATGAACTTAGTACTGGGCCTTGGCGTCACAATGGGGCATTTCCACGATACCGAGGTATTATTCTTATATTCTTCCAAATTGTGCTAGCCAATCTGATGTATGCCGCTCGGTGGCACCGGCAGTCGTCTAATACAGCCGCCGAAGCCTCCTTCTTCGGAAAGTGACTAAGGCAAACCTGCTTGGAGCGCCCCTCTTGCTTGTTTGAGCACTTGGCTGCACCCCCGTTGCAAATGCGGATCAATCCCGGCGCTTCTATTTTTTGGAGGAACTTCTTCAAGCGGGCGAATTTTGTTCCGTCTGCGAATCCTGCTATGTCATCCCCCCGGTATGACGCAGCCTTTTCTCCTTTTCTCCTTTTCCCCAAGATCCTTGTGCGTTCGGGCCACCTCATGTATAACACCGCTGGGGTATGTTTGAAGTTTAGCGTTAGCGTTGTTGGTTTTTTTTTTTGATGGAAAGGCGCTGCCTTTTGACGGGCTGATAACTCATTGTAGGCGTCCTTGGCTCACCGACTGGGCNTCTTCAAGCGGGCGAATTTTGTTCCGTCTGCGAATCCTGCTATGTCATCCCCCCGGTATGACGCAGCCTTTTCTCCTTTTCTCCTTTTCTCCTTTTCCCCAAGATCCTTGTGCGTTCGGGCCACCTCATGTATAACACCGCTGGGGTATGTTTGAAGTTTAGCGTTAGCGTTGTTGGGTTTTTTTTTTGATGGAAAGGCGCTGCCTTTTGACGGGCTGATAACTCATTGTAGGCGTCCTTGGCTCACCGACTGGGCNCTTTTCTCCTTTTCTCCTTTTCCCCAAGATCCTTGTGCGTTCGGGCCACCTCATGTATAACACCGCTGGGGTATGTTTGAAGTTTAGCGTTAGCGTTGTTGGTTTTTTTTTTTGATGGAAAGGCGCTGCCTTTTGACGGGCTGATAACTCATTGTAGGCGTCCTTGGCTCACCGACTGGGCGCATTAGCACGATTGTCAAAATCAGCTTGCGCCACAACATGGTTATTTACGTTTTCGTGTTGAATTGTCCGAGCCCCCCTTCACGCCCCATATCCCGAGCCGCGTTCGAAAATGATGTCAATCAAAATCAGCCCAATACATAGATCAGAAGGTATGCAAATTTTTGCCAAGTTGTTGGGGATTACGAAATCACCCAAAGGTCTTGTGCTTAATTGACCCTTTGTGGCCAGGCACGGGGGGACCGGGGGGTGTTAACGAGGTAGTCCCGCCAAAATGTCGACACCTTTTCGTGTCAACAAGCATGAACGTTGCTGCCGTATCCCTTTAATGCTCCATTGAATCGGAAACCTGGCCACCCGTTTCGCGCCATTGATCTGATTGTATGTGGAATCAAAGCCGTTATAAGACAGACGAAATATGATTGTACAAAGTGAAAATTTCCTCTGGACACCAACAGGCAAATTGTAATTACAGAGAACGGCAATAAGGGAAAAAAATCATTCGCAATAAATAAGTTTGGCAGCATTTAGGCAAAAATAGCTTCCACGAGGCCAGAAAAAAAGCGTATAAAACCTACGTCCCCCTGTCTCTTGTAGTGTGAATAGGTCAATTTCCGAAACCTCGACTGGATTTTTCGCTTCCATGTAAGCAGGGTCTTGTATATCCGCGGCACTTCTAGCGGAGTGTCATCCTCTCCCACCTGGAGGGTATAAGTGATGATGTGGTGGTCGCTGCCCGGGGTGGGTCGCACTGCCCAATCTGTCACTGCGCAGTCTTTTGCCAGTGTTACATCTGGCGCGGAGCCTCTATGCCGATCGGTGTGCCGTGTTCTATTTTCAGCATTGGTAAGACACAATTCATTGCCAATGCGCCATTACACAACAACGCTGCATCTGGAATCAAGCGGGGCTTCGTGGTCCCATGCCAATGCGTGTGCATTGACGTCTGCACCTATGGGTTGTGGCCCGTCCGCGTTGTTGAGTCTATCGAGGTCCTCTGGAGTGATCTTGGTGGCAGCAGGGGGAAGGTATGGTGATGAAATCGTCAGTTTCATACCTGCATCTAGATGGATGGTCACCTGTGCAAGCTCAATGCCTGCAACAAGCGCCGGTCCTGTCTCTACCTGTATCCCATTCCGGGTGAGGATCGATACACCTCCGCCACGACAGGTGCGAGCTATCCCATAATGTTGGATCCCAGGAAGTCCAAAACTAGCTACTTCAGGGGTTTTGGGTGAGAAAAGGCGGCTTCTTTCCCAGAATTCCGAATGCGGCGGCGCCCTTTTTGATCCCGATGCGGGGGCCGCGCCACCTCGCCATAAACCATTGGCCCGGCTGAGTGGCGTCAAGCCCTTCGGCGCGCTAGCGGCCGGTGGCGTGGAAAGCGCGACCGCCATTGCGGCACATGAAGGGGCGCCGGGGAGGGGCGTTTTTTTTTCGCGTTGCTTGCTTTTGAAACTCCTCACAAAGACGCCAGCGACGCACAAAGAGATCGCCAGCAAGACCCCAAGGCCGAAACGCACCTCCGCCCCGCCTCCGGAGGCCGGGGCAGGCCGGGCCCGACAAAGGGGCCCCTCTTTTGCCCTTTGTTCCACGACAAATTGCCGTGGCGGGGCTGGTTGTAAACCAGGGGCGTGGCGAAGGGCGGGCCGCGGAAGGGGCGGGCGCGCAGAAGCCGCGAACGATTCGGCAAACAGGGGCCCGGGCAAACCCAGGAAGAACGCGGGCGCGAAAAGGGAGGCGGGGGGGATGCTCGCGCTTCTGCGGTTTCGCGTCACGGTTGTGCGCTTTCTGGGCGGCGGTGGGGCGGGCGACGCGGAAGGCAAAGAAAAAAAAAGCCACAAAAGGAGGCGCCGAGCCCGGAAGCGCGGGGTAACGCCGGGGGGCCGCTGCGCGAGAAAAAAAAAGCAGGCGGGCGCTGTGTGGCGCGCCTTCTCTGCTCTTGCCGCCCCCCGGCG